ACAGGCTCAGTAGTTGTGGTGCATGGGCTTAGTTGCTTCGCGGGATGTGGGATCTTCCCGGACCAGGGCTCGAACCCGTGTCCCCTGCATTGGCAGGCGGATTCTTAACCACTGCGCCACTAGGGGAGTCCTTCGTAATTTCCTTTCAATAGCCCCTCAGTGCATGTGAAGTATGTGCTAATACACGCGCTCTTTCCGCATCCCCATCACTAAATAGAAAGAGCAGAGACTGAATGCATTTTTGAGGGTCTCCTCGGAACCAAGATCAACATGGCCTATCTTATTTAATCTCTTATTATCCTAACAAGGTAGATGGCATTGTTACTATTATAGAAAACAACAGTTAACTAACCTTATAGTGCTGGGTATGTGCCAAGTACTCTTTAAACACTTTATATCTAAGATAACCCATTTGGGGAATTCCCTGGCAATCCTGTGGTTGGGACTCTGTGCTTTCATTACTGAGGGCCCGGGTTCAATCCCTGGTCAGGGAACTAGGATTCCGCAATCTGCCGGGCGCTGCCAAAATTTTTTAAAATAATATAACCTATTTCATCTCCCCAGCAACCCTGTGAGGTGGCTGCGTGTGTTGACCTCATTTTAGGGATGCGGACACTGAGGGTAAGAGGTGATCTGAGGTCACGCAGCTGGGATGTGTTGGAGCCGGGTTTAGTCTGACTTGAGCCTGGCTCTTCTCTTGCTACCTCCCATTGCCCCTCTGGGAAATGGACTTAAGATCACAGCACTTGTAGGTGGCAGAGCTCAGAGGAAACTCAGACCTTCTGAGTCCAAGGCCACTTAGTGCCCTTTCCCTACTTCCCAAGTACTGTCTTTGTCAGGGGACATGTTTAGTGGGTGAAGCCGCCCACCATTCCTGGGGTCATCTCCACCAGCCTTGGTCTTCAGCACGGCTGGAAGGGTGATGAGGCCGGCCAGGCAGTCCGGGAGGGCCAGTGCACGTGTGCTGCTCACCACACCTGGAGCCCTGAGGCTGGGTCCTCCGGGCAGGTCTGAGGCGGAGTGGGGGTCCCCTTCCCTCTGTTCCAGGTTGGCTCTGAGGGTGTTGTGCCTGGCCCAGCGCCAGTATTCCCTGCTCCAAGCAGCCAACCTCCTGACCCCTGACATGATCGCAGAATTCGAGATGCTGCAGCAGCTGGTACAAGAGGAAAACACTGAGCCTGGAGCAGAGGCCACCGGGGAGCCTGACCCGGCCAGGGGGTCACCTCTGGCTCAGGAGCTACGTTCAGAGTCAAGTGCGTCTCAGCCCTGCTCGGCCTCTGTCTTCTGGTGCCAAGGGGTGGCTGGGGCCCCAGGTGCAGGGTTATAGTTCGGTCAGAGACTGGACCCCTAGGATCATGGACTTCTGCACAGAGAGGCCCCAGGGGTCACGCAGACCCGAGGAGTCAGGGGCTCCTGCCTGTCCCGTGTCTCTCTCCCCAAATTCTACAAATTCTCCTTCCTTCTGGCCAATCCCTGATCTCCCCTCAGCACCCTCCTCTCTGCCCAGAGTCTCCAGGATACTCCGGCCCTGTGACCCGGACCATGGCAAAGCAACTGAGTGGCCTCATACACGCTCTCGGGGTCCCACCCAGGCCTGACCGCACCTCAGCTCAGGCATCCCAACGGCCCACAGAGAAGAAAAGGAGGAGACCGAGCCCCTTGGAGCCAGACAGCCCCCCAGCCCCGAAGCCCGGGACCAAGCGCCAGCGCCAGTCCCTCTTGCCCTGCCTGAGGAGGGGGACCCCACCTGAGGCTCGGCTTCCGTATGGGCCCATCACCCCCACTGGGGGATGGGCCTCCTCCCCCTGCCATTCCCCTCACTTCTGCCCAGCCACAGTCATCAAAAGCCGGGTGCCCCTGGGCCCTTCCGCTCTGCAGAACTGCTCTACCCCTCTGGCCCTGCCTGCACGGGACCTCAACGCCACCTTTGATCTCTCCGAGAAGACCCCCTCAAAGCTGGGCTTCCACGAATGCATTGGCTGGGACAGTGTCCCCCGGGAGTTGAACAGGCTGGATCAGCCCTTCATCCCCAGGTGGGTCTCCCTTCTGGCCTCCCAGCAGGGAGTCAGGGGTCAGCAAGGGACAGAGGTGCTGCCCAGGGGAGCGGAAGACAGCACGCTCTTGGAGTTGGGACACTGCATCTCTTTCCC